GATTTCGCAAGTAATAAGTTCTAGACATTCTTAGCTTCTTGACTGTAACTCAACAAGAAACCAACACCAGCAAGTCGCCCGGCTGGGCCACCTAGACAATATTTTCAGTCGCCCGAGGCCAAGTCTTGCGCCGTATTAAGAGCACGGCCTTGAGTCTTCGTCCTCCTCAACACGGTGACCTTACTTTTCCCTCCTTTGCTGACGCAGTATCTTTTTTCGGCTTGTGCAATCCAGCCTGACTTGCACGTGCTTCGACGTTGCGGCCAATAAAAATCCACACAATTTTTCGGGACGGGCACGGGATACGGGAAAGTTAAAAAAACAAGGCAATTTTTGACTCCCAAGACGACGAAAGGAATGTGCTACCGAATTTTAGACGCTGGCTGACTACGTCATCCCGCGTAATTACATGTGTATAAGAGTTAACAAGACAAATAATTAACAAGAAGTCTAAATTGCTTCATGACCATAATATTGCACTTCATGCATTAACTTCCTGATAGAAAGATGCTGTCTTCTAATGATTATAAAAGGAAGAAAGCAATGTCTAAGAAGGAAATCAGACTAAAGCGAGAACAATAAAACTTAAGAGCCCATGACTGTAAATATCGAGAATCGCTGGCCAGGCTAAAAAAAACGAAAATTCTGATAATTTGTCAGAAAAACCCCTTTGGGAAACTATCTTCGAAAAAAATATTTTCAACTTTCAAGAATCTATAGTTTTCGAGAAAATGAGGAAAAACGAAAATAGCGGTTTTTACCTAATTAATTATGCAAAAATAAGAGTAAAAATGACCTACTTTATCGCGTCTGTACCGTGGCAAGATTCAAAGCTATAAAACAGAAATATTTTCGTTTAAAATAATTCTTTCTTTTCTTTCTATTCATGGTATGTTTTAAACCATAAACATGATTTTGAATTTTTTACGGTTTTTTAAAAACTACCACCAAGCGCACTTTTTAAAATGGCTAGAAAATGAGCAACTTCAGAGGCAAAAAACTCACCTTGGTATTTGTGATACCTAGCCAAAATGTATACTAGGACAATGTTCAGCTCTTATATTAACAGAATGTGAAACAAAAAATCTGGGTACTCCGGGTTCGCCTTTAGAAAATAAAAAGTTTCGTGACCACCAGTGGCAAAATGTCACAAATTTGCATAAGTCAAATTTGTAGAGAAATGATGCCGTCTGATTTTTCTTTGTAGTTTCGGTACGTCGTATATTCGAAACGTAGTAGAAAGGATGAAAGCGCCTTTAAATGAAGCTAAAATTAAGTAAAGGATCTGAAAACTTGATATCCCTGATAACAAATTGCTGTGAAGGTTGGTGACACAATGTGGCAAATTTGCATAAAAAGGCATCTGCATATTCCTATCGTACACAAGGACAGGTTTGAATACTGTTAGCATCACGCAATATTTGAGGCTTAAGAATAGCATAACCAAGAGAATAGCTAATGCTAAATGTTTTATAATTTGTATGTTAGCTCTTCTTAATTGTACATTATAAAATTAAGGTTGCTCAGCAATTGTTGTTAGGTGTTGGAGTACTGTAAGTATTCTGCAATTGCGTGACCGTTGTCAAACTCAGCACAGTCAGACTTTATTTTTACCGGTACGATAAAAAAAATGTGAATTAATTTCGCGGTCATACATCTTTCTTGGAGTGGTCACATGCTTTTATGGTACCGATAGTTCATTCGTCGAGGCGTTTAAGGGATTTGCCATTAATAACACTATACATCAGACCCTATAAGTTTTCAATCGATAAAATAGTTAATTTTCTCAGTAGTTTTTCAAAGTTATATTTTGGTGAAATTGCCACGTCTCGCGTATTAAAAATAACGTAAGTAAAGACTAGATTAAAGTAATCATTGCCCCCTTTTCTCTCTTTTCTGAAATTCTTCCACCTCCTCTTTCTGCCTCTTCACTGTTCGTGCGTTCAACACTATTAAGTCCAGACACTATTTCGACCCGTAATTGTGCCATTGATTTGTTGAAACCTTCATTGAACGGACCCTAACGGATCCTTGCAATTATCCTCTCAATAGAAAAAGTAAATCAGATGGAGGGAGTCCTGCCGACACTGTGGTCGTTTTTTTTTTTTTTTCGAACCATGAATATCCTTCATGAACCCATTTAGCTTTCCATTTATTCACCAAGGTTATAAACTGATCAAAATCAAGAAGGATGGATTTTTCCACTGGTGCCTCATGTAGCAAATTTTCACCTATCTTTATGTATCTTGAGAGAGTTACACACAAAAAAAGCAACATTTGGGGTAAAAAATCTACTTCCAATTTTTCTATTCACCTTCTATTCTCTACAGATTAATTAAATGTCCCTTTCCTGAAAAGTTAGCGGCCAAAATTCCTTGCAAAACAAAGACAGTGCCGGGAAGACGATCAAGTGCCGGAGCAACAGAAGAAGAAAGGCAAAGCAAAACAGCAAATATGCTGATTTGTGGTCTTCTTGAAAAGAACTGTCACAGGGAGCCCATTACCCCCGCCTCACACATTGACAATATGTAAATAGCTGTTGTCATGTTTCTTTCCTGCGGATATATAATATTAGATACCGTCCAAACTTAAGGACACTGTAATTAGAGGGTCTGCTGCTAAGAAGGAAATATCTAAATATTGGATTGTTTTTTGCCTGGTATCACAAATGGCTAGAGCTAAAGTTTTCATGGTCAAAATTCCAAACCAAGGAAAAAATGTTTTTTCCGTAATTTTTTTTGGTAACGGCACATGTTATTCAGCAATTAAATAGCCCCAGCCCCTCGCATATGCCATAGCTAAACATCAATTTAAGAGCAGTTTTATCTCATAAATTTTCTTTCCCTTTGTCTGAAGTTCTTTCCTTCTTTCCTTCGGGAAACGGTTAGGCGTAAATAAAACCGCCGATGCCACTTACTCACCTGGCTATGTTATTTAGCTCCTTGGTCGCTATCAACTACCCTGAGAGCACAGGTCCTTCGATCTTACTATAAATAAGTCGGGAAGAGGAAGAGAAGGGTAACGATCAACTAAACAGTGATTCGATCGGACGTTCCGGTGTGAAGGTTCGAGCTGGACATTGCGGGTACTGACGTTGATACTCCTGAGCAAAAGGCAGGTATTTCTTTAAACAAAGCTCTGGTCTGCGGTAAATGGTACTTACGTCGATATAAGTTCGCTGCAGCAAACTGCGATAGGCCAGGGGCGTCAAGGATGACCTTTCTGATACTTCTCTTTTCAAGATGATGCTACGTTTTGCAAGCACTCGACATGGGTGGGAGTTGGTTAGAGTAGCTCAAAAGCGGTGAACAAGGAGTCTTATCTTCCATGGACAAATCCTAGTTGCATCTTCGTGAAAGGTGATTTACTCTGTTGGAGCACAGTTGAAACTCCTTGTGCGACCACATATCCAATGCACCAAAACCCACCCAGTTAAGTCTCCCAGCTAGAATCTCTCCTTGAACCGCGACCAATAATTGGGGCTGGGTGTTTAATGATTTTGCATTGTTTTTAACCTCTTGTAAGGCCCAGTTCATACGTCGTGCTTCTGCCGTGCCGAACTTAATTCTTGAATTAAGTTCGACATAAGCACGGCAGAAGCACGACGTCTGAATCAAAGTTTTTAATTTAGTGCGGCAGAACAATTAAGTTCGACAAGGTCTGCCGTGCTACACGACTCTGGCACGGCAGCGATTCAAACGTCGTGCTTATGCCGTGTCGAACTAAATGCATAAATTTCGGAAATGTATTTTCGCGGGAATTGTTATCTTGCGAGTCCCGCGAGTAGCTTCGAAGAAAAATGTCCTTCAATGAGCATGCGCATTGATTCTGTTTTTTACCCCTGAGCTCCTCTGCGCATGACGGCCAGGAATCAGAAGCGTAAACACTGGGGTCGAGAATGGTTTAAAACAAACATGGCGGCTTTCCGTGCAAGTTTGCATGCTCCTTCCTCCTTGGTTTGCTGTGCTGCAGAGTCCGATAATTCATCAGAAGACGAACTACCTTTTGACGAAAATATTCCACTAGCTGGCTATAAAGATGAGGACGAGGAAGCGATCGGTGATGTTGAGTCAGTGTCATCGCAAACGAGTCGTCCAAACTCGGGTTCAAAGAAAAAGGCGGGAAGAAGACCGACTTGGAGAGAAGACGACGTAACTGACCTGGTAGATATTGTGTGCAATAGTGAGTATTTTAAAAGAAAGATTATATTTACGAACTCAAAGAACACGAAAAACAATGAGATTTATGGCAAGTTGTTGAAAGATTTGAAAGAACGGGCTCTTGCACGAGGTGACGAATTTTCATTTACTGTGAATCAAGTGAGGAACAAATTAAAGAAGCTGATCAGTGAATGTAAAAAGGCGGCCCTCACTATTAAAACCGCTACAGGTATTGATCGCTTTCAAGAGGAAAAAAATTATGGTCCATGGTTTGCAGTGCTATTTGCATTGGTGAAAACGCGTGATTCTTGTCAGCCAGATCGCGCGATTGAGCCAACGGCTAGCGGTAGCAGTGATGTTTTGAGCAACGGAAGTGATCATTCATCAGCATCATCAAGCCCTGTACCTGTTGATGACAGCGAGGAAAGTGCTGGTGAGAAAAAGCTTTTTGTTCCAATAAAGAATAGAGGGAAAAAAAGAAAAGATTTTGCTTCAAGTGCTGTTGAATGTATGGAGAAGTTGTTAGAGAAAGACCCAACCAAAGACCTTCTGGAGTTTTACCGCGAAGAGAACGAAAAGGCTAGAAAGCACGAGATGCAACTCATGCAAATGATTATGTCAACACAGGTGCAAGATTCTGGGCATTTCCCGCCTCAAGGAAACTCCCTGCAGTATGGGTATAGTTACCCGTCACAACATTCCTATCAATATATGGAAAGCGGGAATATGGCACCAAATTATATAAACCTTTGACCTTTTTTTCAAAACATGTTCAAATTATTGTTTATTCCAATAATGGAACCAGAAATCATGTTACAAATTTGTAGTTACTTTTTTTTTCAACAAACTTTACTGTCATTTTTTTCTGAAAAAGTGCTTTTGTCTAGTGAAGACAGAAACTCAGAGAGACAGTTTATATTGGGTTCTCCCTGCTTGTCCATTTCTTGATATTTTTAGCATGATGAAATAACATGTTCCATTTTGTGTGAACTTAAATAGATTCCTCCACATTTGCTCTATGACTGATGGTGTTTTGAAAATACCAAATTTTTTAGTGTCCTGAAGTTATCTCATGCATGGGGTAGTTGTGTTCCTATGTTGGCTAGATATTTCTGAAGCAGTACCACTGTTTTTGAATAATTAATTTTCACCCTTTGAAGTGAGTTGTAACTGAGCACTGTTGATATTATCAGAAAAAGATTAAAAGCAACAATTCCTGTTCTCAAACATTTCTTTATTTCTCATTCAACTTTTATGTTAGCGTATCTATAACTGTTGTAATTTTTTCTGTCACAATTTTTTTTTCTAACATAATAGTCACTGTATCTTCCTTGAAACAGGAAGGAAATTACATGTTATATTAACTTTGGTAAAATGAAGCAAACTAATTTTATTTTTAAAGACTGGCAACTAAAATATGACTCCAAACAACCCAAAATCCTTATTCAGTGGCAAATCCAGTACTTGAGGTAAGGGGTTGGGGGGGGGGGGGGGGCTACTTATCAAGGCCCTGATATATTAAAAACACACTCTCAAAAAGATCCGTGGCCTCCACTGGATCTGCCACTGATCAGGCATGATAGCCTTTTTACCAATATAAACCAGACACAAACAAGGAAAAAAATAGAAATGAAACCAGACTAAGAAATGTGCTACATCGTGCAATGTTCAAAAAACTCCATCTCCTTGTTTTTCCCTCCAAAACTTCTGCATAAGCACATTTCGTATCTGGTTTGCTTGGTAACAGTTATCCCTTATACGAGGACAATCTGACATGTTCAGCAGTCGCCTGATCACATCCCTTGGCCTCCTCTGATTGGTAGCAGGGTCAACAGTGGCATTTAATTGTCTACATAACGTTTCGCCCCTTTCAATGCAAATGTTATGAAGAACAATACACGCAAGTGTGTTATCTCTGACTTCTTCTTGGGTACTCTCGCATCTCCTTAGAAGGACTCGCCACCTGCCTTTAAGCTCCCCATATGCCTCTTCGGTGACCATTCTGGCCCTGCTAAGTCTGTAATTGAAATACTGTTGTTGGGGAGTTAACACAGCATTTGTAAATGGTTTCATGAGCCAGCTTTGAAAAGGAAAAGCTGAATCTCCCAGCAGAAGAGGGGGGATTTTTACACCACCAATTTCTTTACCTATATCAGGTATTGTTTGTCCTCCTGTTATTTTACTCCAAAGGTTGGTCGACTGAAAAATTATAGAATCATGAGAATTGCCAGGAAATCCACAACTCGCCCAAATGAACCTACGTTTAGCATCTACCATTCCCATCAAGACGATTGAATAAAAGTTTTTAAAGTTGTGGTATTCTTTATTGGCTTGAAGACCACCAGGCGGGCATTTCAGAGGAATATGGCATCCATCAATAGCCCCCCAACTACAGGAAAACTGCCACATTTCCTCCATATCCAAAATTTTTTCCCTGAATTGCTGTTTGTCCTTCGGAAAGTGTTGATCAACTTGCTCATTCCAGAGATTATTGATGATTGCCTTTGTAACATCGCTTACTATGCCACAAACTGTTGAGGTACCAAGACCTGTCATTTCAGCAATTGTGTAGTAATAATCACCCCTTGCTAAACGGTAAAGGCACACTGCCAATCTAAATGCCGGTGAAATTGGATCTTCTGTCACGGTATCACGTTGTAAATCGTGTTGTATACGACCAAGGATAAAATTAAAGGTGGCTTTTGATACACGAAACGTTTTCTTGAACCTCTGATCAGTGTATGTGTTCCATACTTCTTCGAACCATCCCTTGTTACGGGGAAGCCGTCGACATGATCGATCAGCAGTGGTTTTCTCGGAAGAGATAAGAAGAGCAGAAAGAAAAAAAACTTCTAATAATAACATTCGCCTGACGGTCAAAAGGAAAAGGATTTTCTGCTGCATTTCTTTTCTTCTCCTCCTCGAGTTTTGTAAGAGTTTTACCAGTAGCAATTTACGCCGGAGGTTACGGTGCTGCGCCATTTTCGTCACCGATTACCGCTGTACCGGCTGACTACTGTGCGAACTCTGAATTAAGTTCGACTCTGGCACGACGTCTGAATTGAAGTCGTGCTTGTGCCGTGCTTCTGTCGAACCCAATATTAATTAGGTTCGGCACGGCAGAAGCACGACGTATGAACTGGGCCTAAGCGACCACCTGACGAGTTTTCTGATCTCTTGTGGTAGGAACAACAACAACATGGAACTGTACATATCGCAACTTAAAAATTGCAGGCAATGAATTATCTTCCTTAAAGTAGATGTGTCCAGTTTTCTTCTCAAAGAAACCTCCTGTGGTTCAATTCTCGTAAGAGATCACCTCCCGTTAGTGACCACTCCACTACGTCTGCGCATTTTGGGTGGTCTCTTTCGAGAGGTTCGACTGCGTGTAGTTCCTTTTTCCAGTTCTTCGGTGGCGTCGGTTGGAACTTGTTTTGGTTCATGGATTTCGCGTATAGATTTACACACTACGGCACTGCTACATTATATTTTGAAATCAACAAATATCATTTTGTATTTGAAGGAAAACTCCCCTTGGCAGGTGGTACAACTTCGCAGTTTTTGCGGGAAAAATGTTTCGGATTCGTTTCGGAGGAGAGAAACCGCTGGACCGTATGAACTACGATCACTTAGCTGTTTCCTAAGGCCTTTGGTAGCTACCTAATATACCTCTATTTGTCAAAAGTAAAGAAATTAACCAAGGGACGGTTTGTTGTTTGTAATACGTAGTAAAAAAAATCAGATTTCAACATCTCTGACAAGAAAATGCTAACTTTTAGTGCGTGACTGACAGGCATGCAAGGTTAGTATCCCTTCTTTAATTCTGAAAAGAAAATAAACTACTGAGAAACAAATGATGTTGCGAACAACGCATTGTCTGTTGAAAACAAAGTCTCAATAAAATTTCATAAGGAGAAAAAAAATCAGTAAAAGAAGGCAGAGCTGCTCGAGACGTTGTTGCGTGACATTGTTACTCTAACTGTTAGTTTATGACTTCCTCTCACGCGGTGTAGCCCGTTAACAAAAAACCTACTTCAAAATAAAATTTAACGGAAAATGTACCTACCTATTTTAGATATACCGGAGGCGAATTTACGATGATACAGATGGATGCTAATTCATGGAAGTTAGGAAAAGAAACGAGAGACATGGGATATAGTTTACATAATAATTCGGCTCTTTTATATAACGCTTCTTCGAGGTAGATTTTTATTATTATTTTTTTGTGGACGGTTAATTACTCTGATATTTTAACATAAACTTTATCAAACAACGTTTTCTTGCTTCGTTATGTTTCCGAACATAACATACTGACCCTGAATTGAAACAAAACCGGCTGCCGCAACATTTCTCTACAAATTGGACTTATCCAAATTTGTGACATTTTTCCACTGGTGGTCACGAAACTTTTTATTTTGTAAAGGCGAATCCGGAGTACCCAGATTTTTTGTTTCATATTCTGTTAATATAAGAGCTGAACTTCGTCCTAGTATACATTTTGACTAGGTATCAAACATACCAAGGTGAGTTTTTTGCCTCTGAAGTTGCTCATTTTTTAGCCATTTTAAAAAGTGCCATTGATGGTAGTTTTTAAAAACCCATAAAAAATTCAAAATCAAGTTTATGGTTTAAAACATACCATGGGTAGCAAGAAAAGAAAGAGTTATTTTGAACGAAAATATTTCTGTTTTATAGCTTTGAATCTTGCCACGGTACAGACGCGATAAAGTAGGTCATTTTTACTCTTATTTTTGCATAATTAATTAGGTAAAAACCGCGATTTTCGTTTTTCCTCATTTTCTCGAAAACTATAGATTCTTGAAAGTTGAAAATATTTTTTTCGAAGATAGTTCCCCAAAGGAGTTTTTCTGACAAATTATCAGAATTTTCGATTTTTTTAGCCTGGCCAGCGATTCTCGATATTTACAGTCATGGGCTCTTAAATCAACACTATTTTTTTTATCGATAATGCTTATTTTGAATGAGTTCAGGGAAGACTTGTTCGCGACAACTGCCACAATTTCGTGCTTTGTTCTCTAACATCTCTATCCTTCCCTCTAATATTGCTTGTAGCGTATCAAAAGGTATTTTCCTACAGCTGTACATTTGGTGTCCCCTCATGATCAGATGACCGAGGCTTGAGCCCTTTGCTTTCTCAAGGCAGGCTTGTTTCAGAGAATACAGACCATAGTTCTGTGCAATGTCTAGAAGATCCAAACAGTCGAGCTTGAACTTGTCAGTGTAGAGTGTGTGGTGCCGAGAGCGTATTAGCCCATGCGGCAAGTTTTCGATGACATTCATCAGAAACTTTCCACATTTTCTGGTGAGATTTCGCATCATGTACTCTTTTGCGAGGTCAAGTAAAAAAGCGTAATTCTCTTGATTGATCGGTTTCGCCAATGTTGGATAAATCACTAGCAGCATTTCTTTGATCTCAGAAGATTTCTTTCCGGGAAGCGGAACCTCTCCAGAGTATTTCTCTTTGAATCCTGAGGTAAACATCGTTGTGAATACTTCAGACCACATCCCCAGGATATTGCGATGAAGATGAAATCTGTCTTCTTCCACAACCAAAACCACATCACTGAATTGCCATGGTTTGGAAAAATCTAGCGGATATGGCATTCTTTCAGCCTCGGTTGATAACACCCTCCTCGATTCTGAACGATACTCTGAAAATCGAATGACGGCACTGTTAAGGATGAGAGGGGACTGGGTCAAGAACCCTGCCGTTACCGGGAGGTGAGAGAGTT